GGATAACCCATCCAGAGGACCCATTTAACTTTTTTTTTTCTGAAAACAGTTGATCAAAAAACATTGTTTTCAGTATAAAATCAAATAAATCAAAAACATTTTTTATTTTCTTTTGCCCATTTTTACACTTTCCCACTTTTCTGTGTTTGTATTTTTATTTTATTTTCTACCTGTCCAAAATATTGTTTTTAGCCTACACCAATCCAATTTCTCGTGTGTTCTTCTGGAGCCAAATCAAAGCAAACTGAAGGCTAAACTTGGCTGAAACGTCTTGTATGGCAACCCAGAGGAGCAGTATTCTTAGAGCAAACTCAACTTTGTGAGTCAACATGTTTTGAACTTGATTTCCAATAAATGTAGCTTTGACTCTTTAAATCCTGTTCACCTACATATTTTAGCAACCTGAGAACTTTGTATCAGGCTTTTACACACAAACATTCTCAGGTCAGATATATGATTGGAGCCTAGCGTATCAACCTTTTCATCGTTCATTCTTCCGAAGCTGCTCATCACCTCTGGGTATCACTGTATTAGCTTTTAAATGTTTAAAACAAGTTTGTTTGATTTTACTAAATAACTAAACTTTTTATTAATATCTAAAAACAATCAAAATGAAAAACAAATTGATATCAAAGTTAACTGATRTTGCAGTGAAATAAATCCTCTGAAGTATTAAGTGCATTTATTTAAAAAACATAAAATTGGTTTATTTGATGACTTTTTGTATGGCTTTTTAATGCATTTTTAAGCCTGGTTGTTGTTTATTAGTCTTAGTCTGTCTTAGTATGACTTAGTGTGTGAGAGTGCATCAGTAAAACTAACTTCTTAACTGCAACATAAACATGCTACAGCATCCATGTTCCTGTCGCGTCTCATCCCCGTAGACACCACTTGCTTTTTGAAGTTTGTACTTGAAAGGCCTAATCTGAATACTGTGGATTCCACAGCAACTCTGCAAACGGTGATTACATACTGATTAATGAGCCACAGCAGATACACGCACAAACTCACACTGTACTCACATTTTCTGCTTTCTAGGCCACAAAGTGCAGTTTGCAGAAGTCAGTATGTCAAAACTCATAATGTGACTCAGTCACAGCTGGTTTTAAATATAAATGAGCAACAATTTGTTAATCCTATTTGTTTTTTTCTTGGAAAAAGAGCCCATATGTTAATAATCTGATGTGTTTTTATTCTATGTATTTTCTTTTAGTGTCTGCTGAAATCTTGAAGAGCAGTTTGAGCACGATGGAACGYCATATACAGAGGCTTGAGAACGACATTGAAAACTTCCCCAAAACAGATGACCAGCAAGATAAGTTTGTGGAAAAGATGTCGATATCCTTTTATTATTTGAGTGTTTTTCACTTTTACATAAACATAGTGTTTTACATGCATTCAACAGTATTAGGTCATTCTTTGTGCTGTTTTGCCTGTAGCAGCAGTGAAGGTGCTTAATGTTTGTGTTGTGCCTGGCAGTGGTAAGCAGTTTAAGTCACTTGGGATGATAGGTGACACCCCAGTGATTGTAGGGAATGGATCTGGCTGCCTCGCTGTGAAATGTTGATCAGATCTCCCTCTTCACTCCACCCCGTGTCCCAAGAGTGAAATCATGCCCATGGTTATTTTTACTGCGCCCTGCCACTGCTGTCTGTCCCCTGAGGGTCTCTAATAGGGGCTCTAGCCCCTCACACCATCTTATCGCCTATCCCTGATTTCATCTCTTGGCTGGCCACACGAACCTCTCCACAGAACCATCTTTTCCCRTGGCACCTCTCCTGTTGTGATAACAGAGTGTTTCACTTTAACCCAAGCATCTCTGCCCTCAAATTAAATTAACCATGTCCCTGCTCTTTCTTGAATGTCCTCTCTGAGGGAAAAGGTCCTGAGCATGTAGGTTTGAGCAATGGTGAAAATCAAGTCTGCTGGTATCACCCTAAGGTCATCTTATATGAGGAAAAATAATAATAATTTAAAACTCGAGCATAAGCTGCAGGATACTTCTTTTTCTTTTTTTTTTTCTTTTTTTTACATTTTATTAACCAAATAAAAACCTTCTAGAGTATATAAAGTATTGAGTGGGTGTGCTCATATGCTAGGTGCTAACACATAACCTGAATCTGCCTCCTTTCATCTGATGTTTATTTACTCTGAGTTTACACATTAGTTGGGATTGCAACCTCCCAACACATGCTCAATCTGCTCCTAATCAAGAAAGGTAATTTAAAATAGTAAAATGAGAAATAAGTGAATAAATCTAGCCCAGTAGTTCTGAAGAACAGGTGAGCAGAAAAGCTGCCCAATGTCTGTATTGATTCCGCAGCTCCTGTGAGAACTGAATGCTTGAGTGAGAGGAAATGGAGAAGTGTAGATATACTGCAGTATAACTTTTTTTTACTGTCTGGGGTTCTTCCCCAGAGGTTAGCAGTGAGGTACTGGCTGGCCATGACTTGAAACACCCGTCTCTCTCCCCATCTCACCTGATCAAGTGAGTGTTGGTGGTTGGAAGGAGGCTTTGAAGGACTTAAGTATTTTTGGTTCTAACTTTGCCTCATGTCTCTTTTATTTTTGCACTGTGTTATGGTTTTAATGAAGAGCTTTGGTCGTACAGTTTGCATCCATTCATAKAAATGTTTGCATTTAGTTTTAAAAATCTTTAGAATAGTAGTTAGGAAGATAATGTTGCTATAGCCTGGTAAAAACCAAACCTTTGTCCTTCACTTTGCTTCATACAGAGTCTGGACTCTGTATGAAGCAGATGCTATGCTGGAGGAGTGGCATCTACTGAAGTGTGTGTGTGTGTGTTGTTGCTGTGAAGGAGGCTAAGCTAAGAAGCTAACCGGAAATTGCATGTGCTATAAACAACACCTACTGAGAGGAGAGAAGTACCGAGCCGAGCGAGATGACTGTAAAGGAGAGCTGCTGCTTTGTCAGACAAATTTATTTTAATTTGGAAGCCTTATCAACACAGACTGGCT